GCCTAGACCATTGACTGTGTGTACATGAGGCATGTGCATTGGTACTGCAATCTCAATACACTTAATTTCAATGCAAAAGTCTCCAGGATAAATGATACCTCATACACATATGTTTTTTGTTCTTAAATACCAGGGCTGACAATCAATTCAAGGGCAGAAACTCTTCAACTACTGATCACCCTTTTAGAATCTAGGACACAATGGTAACCCTCAAATCTGTATTTATGAGCAGATACCAGACACAGTGCCACCACCAAGTAATACAATTCCACTCAGTGGCCTAATCCAGTATGCAGACTACGCTAACTTGTCTCATGTCACCACTAGCTTGATGCTGGGTTATAGTCAGCTTCATGTTATTTCTTTATATTGATTGCTACTGATATATTTAATAACCCTTTCAGTGGTGAGACATTGACAGTGCCCTTGTTCCCCTGTTTTACCAGTAGTAGGTCAGGGTGTTCTTTTTATCTTTCGATATGTACTTTGTAGCTGTACTACAGGATTGTTTGTGCAGTTTTAGGGACAGGTTAGACAAACACTTGTTATGTTATAATTTGGATAGGTTTGTTCCTGGTTTGATCTGGGGTTTGACTGGAGAACCTCCTGAGGTCCCCACTAGCTCTACTTTTCTATAGTTGTCTGTATGTTCTCACCCCTCTTCTTTCTAGCTAATGAACCATGATCTCTATAAAGCTGCTTTGCAGCTGGTGAAACAAGAGAGTAATTCTAAAAATCTTCTAAAGGTGGATGACCAGTTGTATGCACGGAAAGAGTAGCAGAACAGGCCAAGGAGAAAGGCAGGCAAGATACTTGCCCCATTCAGCAGATTCTAAAAGATAAGCAAGTGGAAAATAGAGATAGGAAGAAACAAACATCTACTGAGTAAGAAAGCCAAAGAAGTGATAGAGACAGTTGTTTACATTGTAATCCTGGTTAAGTCAAATCATTTGGGGTTTGCCAAGCTAAACTGACTTGCACCAAAGGCACACAGTGTTTTAATACCCAAACCTCACTCGTCATGACATCATGTAGTGTGACAAATTAAAAAGGGACCTTTTATTTCCTGTGCACTCGAGCAGTAAGTTTTCACCCTGTATTTCTTCAGCAAACTAAAGAGAAGTGAGTAGTATGCTAAAGCACGTACTGTAGAGAGCAAGAGAAGAATGGAATTCTTTCTAGTTATTAGAAATGGAATTTAATAAAAAAAATGTATTAAACTCATTGTACCTAGTCCAATGAAAACAGAAAAGCCATATGAATATGAAAAAGATCATGCAGTATAAAATATAGAAAATGTTTGAACAATAATTACTTCGGTTTGACATTATTTTTTACATCTTTGAGAACACAGTTTTTGTTAAAGGACTCTGACATTAACTGAAAGGGCTTAAGCAAAAAAAAACCAAAAAAACATTGGTTGCTAGGTTTGATAATACTTTAAAGTAGAAATATATTTTAACTACTCATGTAGTCTTGCATATGTCTTGACAGTCAGGTATCTTTCCTAAAAGCCTTGTCTCACTAAAAGTACTCTACTCTGTGTACAGAAACATCTCCAATTTAAATTAAAGTATAAGACTAATTGTCTTAACTCCCCATTTTAACTACTCTATGGGTGTGTCTACACGTGTATTTACACATGCCTATACTTAATGGGCCTTTGGTTAAGGCGATTTATGCACATATCTACATGTGGATGCAGTAATGCACATTAAAGTGGTGTCTATCCATTGACACACACCATGTTAATGTGCGTTAGCATGTCTACATGTTCACTAATGCAACTTAGCTATTTGCCCATAAATTTGATATCTGCTTTATTCAGGTATCACATTTTGGCTCAAATAGATGAAAATCGCCATTTTTAAGGTGCATTAAGGCCGTGCACATGTAGACATGCACCGTTAATGCACCTTAAATTAGGCTAATGCTCATTAAATGTGCATGTGTAGACATGGCCTATAATTACAAAAGAGAGATGTACAGGGAATTTAGCTCATTTGAAGACAGCTACTGAAAAATATCAAGAATTTCGACAGAAAAAATAGTCTGAAACAAGCACACTGTACAGTTAAAATCATAACTGTTACAACAGGCTGAACTGTCTGATTACAATGCAGATACTTCTTATATCAGAGGTGTATGGAACTCTATGCCACCTCTACTGAAAAGGTAAGATAAGAGTGGTGGATGTAGCGGATGTACTCATGATTCAAGAAAATTTAGTTATTAAATACATAAGATTATTCAATGGAAGGAATACACCACTAGTATTTTTCTCTTTCTCTGTCATATGATTGGCAATAATTTGTGTAAACATCTTAAACTAATATTTTTGAAAGCCAGGAAAGGCTTCTGGGAATGTTGCCACATACTCTTGAAAATCAACTAGCTATTACTAGGACACCTTTTGGTGATATTTTAGTGGGAAATTCTTCTCCACCTATCCCAGCATTGCAGATGACACCACACTGACAGTGAGGGGATAGAGTTTGGACACCATAAGAACTGCCTCAAAATGGGATCTGTGGTTCAGGAGAGGACATGGGCCAGAACTAGTAGTTATAGTTAGCTGTCCATGAGCAAGGGTGCAGAAGTTTCTGCTCATTCAGTAACAGCAACAGTATAGCTCTGAATCACAATGCAAAGGCTCTTTTCCACATTCTCACAAGAGTGAAGTAGTTGTTATGAGCCCACCTTGGTCTATACATTCAAGATTTAATTAGTTAAGGTACAGCATTAGCTAAATCTCCACAAAGGCAATGGATATGTCACACTGCTAAATGTGATATAAAACAAATACAGCAAAAAACACTAGATTTTAGGTTTTATTAAAATTATATTCAGGCAGAAACACTAGCAAATGAGTTATTTGGGATTTTTAGTCTCATATTCCTGATGCATCGTTTCTATTAACATATAAAATTCTCCTTAATTCATTTTAAATGGTTTACCAAAAATCAAACAAAAAGCAATTCTTATGATATCCATTTTAATTTCTCTTTTCCCCCACTATCTCTATTTTAAGTATATTGCATCTCAGAGAATAAAGTCACCTGGAAATCCATTTATTATGCAACGTCGTCTCAAAAGTTTTAAAACTTCTTGCATATTACATGCTTTCAAGGCAAATAAATTAATTTCTGTACAGCCCAGAATAGAATATATAAACAAAACCCAATAAGCCTGAATCTGCAATTCTTAGCCGTATGAACAATCCAATTAAAAACAGTAGGGCTATTTTCATGTCGGTTACAGTTATAGAATCAAGTCCCAGTATGCATTTAATTAATTCAAATAGCCATCTAGCAGTCAGACATGCTTGGAAGAGGAACATTTTGATGCAACTGTTGGGCTTCATATGTTCAATACTGAATTAATAATACTGATACCCATAAATTTGAGCTGAAGAAAAATATACCACTAAAGATTAGAATTTAGGGAAATGCAATTCCACAAACAGATGGGAAAGCTCTCCTAAGATCTTCTTTTGTAGCAGAATACTGTGAAACCCATACAAAGATTCACTTCCATTTCAGACTTATCTTAGAAAACCGTGAATTAACACAAACCTAACAGCAGGGGTAAATTGCAGTACTGTTCTCACTTTGCATACAGATCTCTCAATAACATCAGTGGGGACTCAGGCAGTGGAGTGAAGGACGTGTACAGCCCTAACTATAAATGTTACATACTGGCGCATTTATTAAAATTATCTGGAACACAGCAAGTGCTTGATAAGTGAATCAGACCAGAGCACAAATACAATGCGTTCTTTATGCTGAATCTCTCATTATGAAGAAAGTTGAAAAAATGCAAAGAATTTGCTTTGTAAAAGATAATAATAAGCATGCAAAAATCCAAACTACTATTTCTAATGTGACATTTTGAAATGAAGTGATACTGCAATATTATCTGAATAGCAGAAGGTTTGTGTGTCCTAGTTACCAGCAGTAGATAGCATTCACTCCTATAACTGTCAAATCTCTTTCATAATATTTTAATTTGTAGAGAACCTGATTTTACTATGGAAATTTTATGATAAAGCCTAAAAAGAATTTATCTGATGGAAGAAAAATGTATTACTACCATACAGAGATTTGCTTCAAGTCTTACATAACAGCAATAGTAAACACAGCACACTATTGTATGAAAAAAGATAATGGAAAAATTTCAAGGGTTTTTTTTTATTGCTTGTATCTTAGAAACATGCAGTAAGGGAAGATTTTTTACCCATAAATATGGTTTATAGAGTGTCTTATATGCTAATGTCTACCTAGCAACATCTGCTTGTCAAAGGACTGTGTAATCAAGCCAAGAGTTGACAACTGTGACAATCATCTACTGTCATATATTTAGGATTAAAAATTCAGGCTCAGTCAAAGACATTGGTGCCTAGTAGTTATCTATAAATTACAGTGTATAGCAAGTTCCCTAAAAAGAATTTAGTCTGTTAGTTCTAGAACTTCCATAGATTCTTCAAAAATAAAGACACCAGCTACATATTCATAAGGAATTTATTTTTCTTTAGATGAAAATGACTTCTATTATCTTATAATTTTTAGGATATGCTGTTTTGATAGACTAATCACTTGAAGGAAATTCACAAAGAAACATGCTTCCGTGTGCAAGACTGAAGGTCTCCCCTTATTCCTCCTGATTAATAGGATCTATTAGTTCTTTGTTATGGCTCAAGTTTACCTTTGAGGGATGACCCTTTGAGCCTGTCACACAAGAATGGCCATTTTCTAGGTCAGAACATAGCTCCATCAAGCCCAATATCGCATCTCAGTGCAGAGAGTAGGTGCTCAGGGTGAAGAGGGCATGACAAGAATTTTCTGCTCACTGTTCCTCTCGCATAGCAGCTTCCAGCATTCAGAGGTTTATGAAGTTCTGATGATTCAAAGGCTGCACCTGTATCTAACATATTCAGTACCTACTGGTAGACCTTTCCTTCAAAAGTTAGTCTAATCCTATTTTGATTTGGGTTACATTACCTGCTTCCACAACATCTCATGGTGGCAATGAGTTCCACAGGTTAATTCTTCTTCAGCAATCCCTCACAGTTGAGGATGATTGTCTTCCATGATTGTCTTATCTGTGTAGTCAAAGGGCACACTGAGTGAAAAAAAAACTTCCTTATGTTAGTTTTAAACCTACTGCCCAACAGTTTCATTTTATGTCCCCTAGTTCTAGTATTGAGAGAGACAGTAAATAATAACTCCTTATTTACTTTCTCTGCACCATTTAACATTTTGTAAACGTTTATCATGTCCCTTCTCAAAAATCTCTTTTCTAAACTGAAAAGGCCTATCCTATTAGGTTCTCCTTATATGAAAGTTTCTCCATACCCTAGATCATCCTTTTTGCCCATTGTACCTTGTCTAGTTCTTTTATATTCTTTTTGAGGAGTGCAGACCAAAACTACACACAGAATGCATGCTGTGGATGCATCATAGATTTATAAATCACCTGCTGGGCTAAGGGTAGAAATTACACATAAATCAGTATAAGTGATCAGAAACCAGTTTAAATAGGTAACACAACAGAAGTTCAAAATGGCTAAAGCCGTTTTAAGGTAAACCTGGATAGCTGTAGTATCAGACTTAACTAATTTAAGTAAAATTGGTTTATTGAACTTCTGCCCTAGATCCTCTCCAGATTCATGTTAATTCATAGTCCTCTAGGATCCCAGGATACTTTGCATCTCCCCCTCAAACCTCCCTTGCAGGGTGCACAGGCTAGCCTTGGCTCAAACAGTCTGTTCCAGCCAAGCAGGGAGGTGTACTCCAGCACCTCCTGGCTTCTGGCATGAGCCACTGCAAGCATGTGGCTGCATTTCTGGAATCAAAAGTGAATGAATGCCTGTTCTCTTACTTATCGGTTCAATCTGTGCAGTTTAGACTAACCTGCAAGGATTGAATCAATTCAGCCTCAGGCTGTTTGACTAGCTGTATTTAGCCCTGAAGACATAATAGGGGTGTGTGTGTGTAAGCGAACAAGAAAGAATATTGCATTAAGATTGGAGTTAAGTCTTAAATGTTACTCTGGTTTACCATCCATCAGTAAATACCATAAGAGTATAAAGGCAATAGCTGATCTATGTTCAAAGTACTCAAATAAACTCTCTTTATGCAGAGCATTCTTAATAATATACAGACTAGACAATCAAGGTAGCAATGTAAATAAATCATAAATAGTTTTTAGAGCATTTTATTTTCTCCTTTGACTATTTCATCAGTACTGGGATCACATCTTGCCTGCATATGTTCATTCATAGAAGTATTCTGCTTCTTACTGAGGACTGGGTACTAAATGAAAGACCCAGTGAACAAAGGTTGCTTCATGGAATGTCTCTAAAGACAGGGCCATTACATCTTAGTAAATACATAGACAGGGAGTCATTCCTGGCCTGCTGTAGGTATAAGCTGTATTCTGTACAGCAATCAGGAGGAAGAATGATTATTAGGATCTGAATTCAGAGCATATTTTTTGCCCTTTATAACTCTTATGTGAATACATTTTCAAATCACTGTGGTTTTTCCTTTTCCTACTTTGCCATTCTTTTTGTGAGTTTTTCACAATAACATTATATGACCTACTTTAATTATGGCTTTGTGGCACTCTTAGGGACTGTATAGTAGTTTTATTAACTTTATTTATTGGTTTCAAATGATTGGGTAGGTGTTGATTTCCTGTCCCAAACCTGCAATTGGAGCTTTAAGCATTGCCACTTCCATCATTACCCAGTTCTATGACTTGCTTTCTTTCCCCCCCCCCCCTCTGTCTAGGAAATAATAATTCTCTTGCAATTGCAGGTTTTGTAGATAGTCACCTTTTATGTAAAAATAATATTCTTTGTATGCTTGTACTGCTGTAATTTTCACCCTTTATCCCTGCTGCATACAGGTTTCCGTGATTTCCAAAGTGTGATATATATCCCCTGGGAATGAAAAATCCTCCTGATGCTCTTTATTTCTCATCAAACTCCTTTATCAATTGATCTGTATCTATCTGCTACTTTTATGGGACAAATTCAGGCACAGTTCATGTTTGAAAGAAATAAAATTAAATGGCTTAACTAACACAAAAATATTTTCAGCCTATCAAAAGAGAATTACTCTCAGTGGATAACTTTAATAACCTGCATACTATAGATTTTTCATTTCACTTACAAAACTTCACAACTATCTCTGGCATCTGAAAAGTAGCCACTTCTAATAAATCTTCTGCATGTAAGTTCATAGAAAGAAGTGTTCTAGTTCTTGAAACAAATATAAATTCCCCACATTTAATTTGCAACAGACATTGAGCTTTATGGAGTGCTTCAGATGAGCTAAATGATCGCACACCTGCATGAAATTTCCAGCTAAACTATTATAGCCTGAAGGAATCTACATGTCAAGCAACAATCTTGATATAGACAAGAAACAACTTCAAGTCTAGTATCAGCCTACAAATTAGCATGAAAGAAGAATATCACATTAAGAGGAAAAGAAAAAGAAATCCCAAAAGGTAATGTTTATAGCTTACCCATTTTGTATCTGATTATATTTGAGCTCTCTTGGTTATCTAATACATGTGATACAGTTAACATAAATCAAGGCTAATTATAAATCTGTGCTCTCAGAGAGAATGAAGGTTTAGACTGCTTTTGCTAATATCAAAATGTGTTTGAAGCACATGAGTTGCTACCTGTGTCCTCAATGGAATAAACACTAGAAATCTGTTTATTCTAAGTGATGGGGG